AATATGTTCCTTCAGCAGGGGAATCAAACATTCCCTCTGCAAGCCTGAGCACGCCAAGGTGTTCCAGTACAGAGCCTGGTTCAGAGCAGGATTGGAACACATTAGGTAACATCCCAAACCCAGTGTTTCCTACTCTCCAGGCCCTGCTCCTGTTCTGTGGAGCAGTCAGCCCCTGGGACCCTGGCAGGGCCAGCTGTGGCACACTCACTCACTCCTCAGGGTCAGGACCTGCAGCAGGAGAACTCTTTTATCTTGCTCTGCATTTTCTCCAAGGAGATGAAGCTTGGCTGGGGTCTCTTTCCACACCAAGATTCCCTCCTAGCAAGTTTTACACTGAGAGTGGAGCAAATAAACAAAACCCAGTAAAATTCACAAACCAGCCTTCTGTTCTGGGTTCAAAAGTATCCCTAATCCAAACCCAGACAAAAATGGGAATTAAACCTTTCAGGGAATAAATGAAGCAATTGGGATTTTATGCACAGGGAACAAGGCAGAATGAGGAGCTGCAGTCACAGGTTCTCAGTTGTTATAGAACCAAAGCACTCCCATAACTCCAGAACACAAAGAAACAGCACATGTTTCAGCTGCTGCTCAAGGAGAACGTTGTAAAGGAATTTGGGGTATTTATTTATACAAAGTGCAAGCTCAGAAAGGGCTGAGTTGGTGCCTGTGTGCAAGCTTGCTGCTAAAAACAGCCCTCACCAGCAGGTCAGTGATTGGGAGAAAGTTCTGGTGGGGGGCACTGAATCATGGCATGGAGGAATAAAGCAAACTCCAGCTTCATTTGCCAAGGCAGCCTGTCACCCTGGAGTGCAGAAAATCCCTTCTGATATTGATCAGTGGCCTCATTAAAGATTTGGAGCCTGTTTGAATCCTCCTTCCCACCCAAGGTTCCCAAATCCCTCTCGGAGGTCCCTGGCACCCCCGTCCCTTCAGCCCAGGAGAACATTCAAGCTGACACCACCTTGTCCTGATGGAACACTGCAGATCCCCAGTGTGAATGGCACTGCATTGTTTTATTTGAAGTGTCTTTACACAATGAAAGTGCTGGAATGTTGTTCCACATTTTACACATTTATACATCAACACCATCACACTTGATTCTCATTATAAAATTGTTTCTGAAGGTTTTCCATTTACTCCTACTTACAGCAACTTCTACACTGGGGTAGAAATGAAATAATTTAAAAAATAGAAACATCACAGAGAATCCAACCCCGACTTCTGGAATTTCAAAAATCCATAAGCCTGCTGGATAACACAGGTTTTTGTTGGGTTTTTTACCTTTGTTTTAATTCCATGGAACAGTGAGACAGTGAAGCTTGGGCTTGGAGTGATTTCAATACCTGAAGAGATACATAAATGCCACACCTGTGATAGAAGGACAAACCCATTTCCCACCTTTTCCCTCTGTCCTGTTCCTGTCTCTGGAGAAAGGACCTGCAGGATCTCACTTTGAAGCTGGTGGCAGGAGGGATCCTGAGCAGGCACAACACAGAGCTGAAAAGCTCCACAGCCATGAGAATCCCTGCCCATTCCTTTTCCCCCTGCTGTCAGCCAAGTGAAAACACTTCTGGAAGTTCAAGAAGCACGTCAGGTACAACCGAAACATACTGAAATGAACCTGAAAAATCTGAATTTCTGAATGATTTCTACACAGGAACATCAGCAGCCTGGTTTGTTCACAAATCATTTTATCTTTTTAAATAGAAAAAAAGAAGAATCTGTCTAGACTAAAAAAGTTTGGCTATAAAATAGCATAAAAGCACAGGAGCAGGTGTTGTTATACCAAGGCATATTTTCCTCCTACTAAAACACTTAACACAAGATCACAAAATCAAAGATCTGTATTCTAAAAGATGCATCCTGGTCTCAGAAGCAGCAGATGCTCTGTCAGACACACAGGAGGCCACACAGAAAAAGTCTTCATGAAAAACAGCAAACAAGGGCTGAAACTGCATAAAAACTGGCTAAGCCAGGCAACTGATTGTCTTTGAAAATACAAAACAGACTGGAGAAGTTAACAATTAACCCTTGGATGTTTTAGCTCCTGCCAGGACCTAACAGTCGCTGGGTTTATTCAGAGGTGGGGGCTGTCCCAAGGACTGGGGAGGAACAAACAGCCCCAGATTGTCAGAGAGGGTCAGACACAGCACACTCACCAGCTGGATCCGTGTTTCACTCCAGCATTAACTCCCAACGGGGGCTCAGTGCAGCCCCACAGGCACCAGAGCAGCAGTGGTGGTGGTGCACTCTGAGCTTCTTCCTCTGGGGTTCTCCCCCCTGAATTCAGCTCCTCAGTGCATTTGTGCCTCATGTCAAACTACACACACACAGCTGGGATTTCTGAGAAAAGCAAAGGTTAGCCCTCACCTCAGCTGGCAAGGAATCTGAGCATAGACAGTGCATTTCACTTGTGTTTAACACTAGATTAACTGGAAGCTGTTGGACAGATCAGCTTTTAACTGCTGTACAAGGAACCTGCTGGAACCCACTCGTGGCAGGAGGAGATTATTTCAGCACTTGGAACATCACACTGTACAACAGAGAGCAAAGGGCGACATCTTAAAAAACCAAAACACAGCCAGACTCCCTAATTGTCACTATTTCAAGTCAGGTGGATTTGCTACACTCGGGGGGGACTAGTCCCTAAAATTAAAGTGCTTTTCAGAGCATTGGCATCCAAAATCTTGAACATGAGAGACAACTACAAGTCAGACCTGTTGTGACCTATAGCAGCAGCACAGACAGAACACATGGACTGGCCAGGTGGAGCAGCTCAGCTCTAGCAGGGCATTGTGCCCCCCACCTCCAGGGCACACTCAAAGGCTTTGGAGTCACTCAGGATGGTGGGGGGCGGCTCCGGGCGCCGTGTCTGCAGGATCTTCTGCTTGGGGTTCTTCATCTCCTCCTCCTCCTCAGTCTCACTCTCACACACGTGCACAACCACGCTGGGGGTGGAGTCTGTCCCTGCGTGCAGCTCGTACTTCTCCCCTGGGAGCAGCCAGCAACAGCAAGGTTAAAAACACCCCCAGGAAAAGCATTTAGATAAAAACCCCTTAACTTCAACAACACAACCAAGTAATCATTAATTCCCACCCCACCTTTAATGTGCTCAGCCTCCACTCATCACAAATGCCTTAAAACAGTCCGTGTAGCAGCTACAGCACACTTTGAATACAATCAATCTTTTCATTGACATTTAGAGGAAGGGAGGGATGTAAAAATCCCAGGAAGACATCAGAACATGAGCAGCAAACACATCTCTAAGTGACATCATTTGTGCTGTATATTTCTGTGACATTTGTAAACTAAAAGCTACAAAAGCATTTGAGCACATCAAGCCTCCCCATTTCCTGCTTTTCACAGAAAGCAAACACCACATTTCCCAGGAAGCCTTAGAAAGAGAAGAGACTCAGTTTCTTCTCACAGAAAAGGACAAGTTGAAAAACTCCCTCAATAGCCCCTTTTGAAGGGAAGTACCAAACAGAAGTAAATGTCCTTACCTGGCCCCAGCTTGGAGACAGCACAGAGCAGGTCATAATTGATCAGAGGAGTTGCATCTTCACTCTGCTTCCACCCCACTGGGGGAGAGGCAGGGGGGGAAATCAGGAACTGTTTCACAGGTTGTGGAGGAAGGAGGTAGGACTTGTCCCCAATTTCACTGGACACCTGCACCTGCAGGCAGCACAAATATTAATTCTCTTGTTATTTGGTTTATTTCCCCACTAATTCAGCCTAGCTTTAAAAAACGGGTTCAGCTCTTTGTACACCACCTCAGGAAGTGCTGCAGCTCAGAACCTGTGCAGGGGCTGCTGTGGGACCTATACCAATGCAACAGGGGCAAATCTCTTAGAAAGAGAATTTGGTACCCACTTATTTTGTTTCAGCCCCTCTGTGTGTCTGGTTTGGTCACTGTCCCAACCAATCTCAGCTCAAGACGAAAACCAAAACTGTGCCCTAAAATGTTGGCACAGCTCAGTGTAACTGTGAGGTGATTTCAGATATTTCCCCCAAATGAAGCTCATGGGCAAAGGAGGAATAAAGGAGCAAGGACAGAGGTGCAAGGTCTCTGTGTCCCACTGTACCTGTGCAAAGTAAAGCTTCAGCTTCTTCCCACTGAACTCGGTCTCGTGCAGCTCTATCCGAGCTCGGGCTGCTGCCTCGGGGTTGCTGAAGTTTATCCTCACCCTCCTGAAGCTCTTGAACAGCTGGAACGTCACCTGCTCATCATAGACTGTGAAAAGTGCTTCAAACCTTTCCTGGAGAGAAACACAAACATTCTCCAGGTGTAAAATGAGCATTCTCACTCCATGAAAAGATATTTTCCTTTACTTTCCTCTTCCAAGTCCATCCATTTCCTGAATCACCTCAGCCTGCACATTCCCCACCTCCCTCCCTGCTTGTAAATCCACACTCAGGGCAGCACAGCTTTGTCTCACTGGTTACACCCGAATCTCCAGAGCAACCCGATGTGAATGAGCCCAGAAACTCTGAATGCACCAGGTGCCACCTAGCGAGAGCTGCCCAGTGCTGCAGCTGCACTGTCCTGTCATGAAAATCGATTTCATGCTTCTGAAATCCAATTAATAATTTTCAATTATGAAATTCAATTAATTTACCAGCTCTCTGATCCACAAGAGACCTCATTTACAGATTTTTTCCCCTCAGTTATGATGGGCATTAATACACTGAAAATCCAGACAAAAATGTTCAATGAACACTGAGAACACCTCACACTCCTTCTCCCTTACCTTCTCCTCCTGTACCTCAAACACAGCCTCGTGAACACTGCAAGCAAAGAGTGAGGTAGGCAAGTCACTGAAATCCATCATCTCTTCCAAATCCTCTTCATTTTCACCAAAAATCATCTGCTCCTCCTCCTCCTGGTCGCTGCTGTACAGGTCTGACTGGCTGTCGCTCCAGGACCTCATGGAATCCCTGAGCATCCTTCCCGCCCTGCAGCTCCTCGGGTGCCAGCTTCCAGCAGGGCCCTGCCAGCAAAACCCAAACGTGAGGAGAGCACAGCTCCCTGCCCGCTGCAAAGGCAAATCATTCCTCAAAGAACAGGAATCTGCACAGAATTGGTTCTGTCCCCACCCATCAGCAGCAGCACGTTCCCCTGCTGAGCATGGAGGGAGGACTCTGCTGCTCCATCCAAGGGAAGATAAAGTCACCCCGTCAGGAAACTGCAATTTCTCCTCCCTTTATTCTGACAGGAATCCAAAATGACAGCGCTGTTCTAGAAGCTTTTCTCCATGACACACTTTACAGTGAGCAACAATTTCTTGTTTAATAATTAAAACCATTCCCTGGGTAATCACAGCAGTTCTCTGGTATCTGAAAAAATAACTTTATTTTATCAATGAGAGCACGTGGACAAAATTAAATCATCTTTCAAAACCTCTCCAAAATCTGAAATATCCTCATGTCCTTTTCCTGCACCTTTCCCATAGGCAGGAGTACTTAAGGAGTAGACACAGCGAGGAAGACAAAAAATGCAAATAAGCAAAAGACTAAATAAAAAACATCAGGGAGAGAATTATTTTATGCAATAGAAAAGATTTTGCTGGAGTGGGCCTTCTGCCACCCATCCCTGCAGAACTCCTGAGGTTATCACACTGCTCCTAGCTGAGAGAAAAACAGGTTAATTGCACCAGATCTGGGTTTGGAAGGAGTGATCATTTGTGACACAACACTGCAAGAAGGTAGTAAATATATGATGCTTCATTGGCAGTGATCTCATTTGAATATTTACCTAATGAGGGGGGGATTAAACGGGTTAATGACACAGTCACACCTGGGGATGCCAGTTCTGCTGCCCAGCATGGCAGGAGGGATGGAAATTTGGGAGAACAGGCAGCTGGTGGAAAGCTCAGTTCTTGTGCTTGCTGATTCATGCAAGGAGGGAAGAGAAGAGGAACAAAAATGCGCCAGCATGGGGAAAACAAAAGGCACCATCTGGCTCTGAGAGATCTGGGCTCATCCAAACAGCAGCAGGACAGACTCCCACATCCAGACAAGCTCTGCTGGGCTGGGAGCAACATTCCAGCCTTGGCCTGCTCTGATCCCACATTCCTGAGGGATCAAAGCACCCAACCCACCAACTCTGCTTTCCTGACAGCCCAAAGGACGGGGAGGCCTCCAGCAAGGAGAGAGCAACACTGGCAGAGAAAAGGGAGAGTTTGGAAAGTAAACTCCATCCTTGGATGAATGGTGAATGAAACGTGGAGTGAGGATCACACAGAGCAAGTGGAGATTTGGTCAGGTCTGAGCCTCAGTGCAGAACAAAGGCAGGGCAGCAGTGGCATTAAACCAAACCCAGCTCAGCACAGAGCTTCTGTAGAAACACACTGGGCTATAGGAGATACTGCAGTCATTTTGTATGTCTTATTTTAATTAAGATTTCATCATAGTTGTGTTATTTTTCATCATAAATCTCATGGTTAATTCTATTTCTTTTCTCAGATAACTGATTTTTCATTACTTCACCCAAATCAACTCAAAACACCTGATGACTGAGCAAGGCAAAAGTCTCCAACATCAGGATGAGACAGGTGAGACTCAGGTATGAATATTAATTAAGAAGTACAGTGAGTGACAGCCCTGTGAGAAGTGATATTTAAACAGACTGGGTAGAACTATTTACTGTGCAATTATTAGAAAGCATCAAAATCAGAAGGATACTCCAAACTTGACAGGTACAGGAATGTGATTATCAGTGCAACAGCCAAACCACTTCAGGAAAAAGGGAATTTCTTCACTTACCTCCTTGGAAAGGTGAGAGTTCCTATTTATAAATTGTTTGATGTGAATGGAGATATGCAAATCTAAGTTATTTATTACAATCAGCTTATTCTTATCATACTATTAACAGCAATAGAGTTATAAACAGTTTCATTGCAATACTCATTAGCAAACTATTGGATCACTTGTTCCCTGATAGATTTCAGATTGAACAGCACAATTTAAAGGATTCCAAGAACTAAAGCCACTGGGATCAGACCTTTCACTAAGTCCTTTCTCTGAGCATTAACACCTGATTATCATTTAAATACCAGCTGACAGGGAAATGCTTATAAATGACAAATGCTTATAAACAAACAATGCTTACAAACAAACTCCCCAACTTCATAGAAGGCTAAAAATCATCTGAAATGAAAGCAAAGCAGCTCCTGCTATGGGGAGCTGTAGCTCTTCACGGGCTCAGGCAGCACCGGGGAGTTTTCCTTGGCATCCTCTGGAGCAGCAGCTCATTCACGGTCACATCCCACCGCTTAGGGAGTGTAAGGGCTGGGAACGGTGGCAATTTCCACAGGAGCAGTTAAATCTGCTCTGGCAGGGAGAAAATCCTTCCGTGGGAGGGCGGGGATGCCCAGAGCAGCTGTGGCTGTCCCTGGATCCCCCAGGCCAGGCTGGGCACTGGGGCTGGAGCAGCCTGGCACGGTGTGAGGTGTCCCTGCCATGGCCGGGGTGGCACCGGGTGCGATTTAATCCTTCCCACCCGAACCATGCCACGATTCCAAACCCTGGGGACCCCACGGAGCTGCCCTGGCTCAGTGCGCCGGGACAAGCCCGGGCCGGGGGCCGGAGCTCGGCTGCGAATATTCTTTAATTCAACCCCCAAACGCTCCATCTCCGCCCTGAGAGAGGATGAAAACAACTTCCCCGCCCGCACCCACGGCACGGCCCGGCCCGGTACGGCCCGCGGGCGGCTCCGGCGGGGCCGCGGCTCAGCTCACCTGCGGACGGCTCTGCCTGAGGGGCGCCGGGGACGCGCAGGGTCCGTGAGCGGCGCCGGGAGCGCGCGGGTCCCGCGGGTGTCCGTCAGAGGCGTCGGGAGCGCGCGGGTCCCGCGGGTGTCCGTGAGAGGCGCCGGGGACGCGCAGGGTCCGTGAGCGGCGCCGGGAGCGCGCGGGTCCCGCGGGTGTCCGTCAGAGGCGCCGGGAGCGCGCGGCGCCCGCGGGTCCCGGGGCGGGGCGGCGGCGGGAACGCGCCTGCGCGCGCGTCTTCCCCCCTCCCGCCGCCCCCGGGAGCTGAGGGTGTGTGAGGGGGGTCGGTGACCCGGATGGAGAGAGGGAGAGGAGGGAGCCGTGAGGCGGGAGGGAGCCGGGGCTCTGCGCATGCCCGGCGCCGTGAGGGGTCGCGGCGGGTCCGCTCTCCTGAGGGGCCGCACGGTCCCGGCCCCGCCGCCGCCTACCCCGGGAGGTTCCAGGGGAGCCCCAAAAATGCTCCGGGGACACTTCGGGCGGTGTTTGTATGGCACTGTGGCTCTGAGCCAGCCCTGGAGAGGCCCCGAGGAGCGGCCGTCCAGGCTCCCTGTGGGAATGGCTGAGCTCAGAGCGATGAGAATTTATTTTAAATGCTGCAAATCGCCCTCGGAGCAGCTTCCGGACGAGGGGCGGCGGCTGCTGTGGAGGAAGGAGCTGCCCAGAGCAGCTGGGGCTGCCCCTGGATCCTTGGAGTGCCCAAGGCCAGGTTGGACATTGGGGCTGGGAGCAGCCTGGCACAGTGGAAGGTGTCCCTGCCATGGCAGGAGTGGGATGGATGAGATTTAAGGTCGCTTTCAACCCAAACCATTCTGGGATTCTTTGATTCTTCCCCTGGCATCGATCGGGATGGCTCTGCCATCAGCCTCGGCCAGCTGCCAGCTGGGAACAGTGACAGTTTGTGTCCTCCTCAGAGTAAATCACAGCTTAATCCGGCCATGAGATGGCTCAGACAGCCATCATCTGAGCTGGCTGATACATCAGTGCCTGTGCACATTTACCTCTAGAAAGAAAGCACTAACCAACATCCTTTCTTTGGTTTTTCACAAAAAACCCACACAAAACTATTGAGTTTCACTGACACTAATATCGAGTGCAACAGCTTTGTCCTTGCTTGGAAAGGCAGAAGACAGCGTGGGTTGGTGATAGAAGTAGTGAAATTTCTGTGGCTGAAATATTTTCCTTTAAATTTCAGAAACAGACAGAGAGAGATGCTGAGCTGGGCTTCTCTACCAGGATTTGTCCCTTTCCTTTGGAAGAAAACAGCCCAGCAGATGTCACTTCAGGAAGGTAGGATCAGTCTCCCCTGTCCAGGTAAAACATTCTACAATTCAGATGCAGTGCAAATCCAGGTGTAACAGGTTACCCTCCATCCTCAGCCCTCCCTTGCTGCAATCTCCTGCTTTATCGATTCAATACCACATTTTCCTCCCTGGGCAACAATAGATTCTGCTTTAATACCACTAACTGCAACATTTGTGTCCACTTCAGTGGCATTTAAAATACTTTGTCTCCTGCAATAACACCTCGTTTGTAGCACTCCTGTAACACTCCTGCCATCAATGGCACATCTTTGTATCAGCACTTAGAACACTTGTAATAGAGCCCTCTAATCTTTGAATGGTGGATGTTAACAAAGGAATTTTATCAGAAATTCTAGGGATTTAGGGAATCCAGGATTCAGTGAAGTGCAGCTCTAACACCGAGGCTGCCCTTGGGTTGTCTCTTCTCCCTTTGTGGTTTGGGACCCCAAGAGATACATTTAATTAAAGTGTCCTGAGGGTTATCCTCTGCTTCTCCCCGTGGACTGCAAACCCATCTGGTGAGTGTTAATTAGGTTGGCAAGCAGTCGATTAAGCCAAATTGCCACTTTTGTGTCCCCCAGACACTGCCCTGTGCCTGAGGGATGACACCTGCCACAGCTGCATTCCAGCTGTTCCCAGGGGGCTCTGATGTGTCAGAGAAGCTCCATTTCAGTAATAAACATCACTAAACAGGCCACCAAACATACAGTGAGTCTGGGTTGTGTCCCCACCCCTTTCTTTGGATCACAATGTCAAGCTCTTCAAAACATTAAATGTGAAATATTTTTTTCAAAGCCTCGTAAAAGGAAGTTTTAAAGGTAAATTGCACAATTCCTACAGCTGACCCCAACCCTGTGGAGACTCCTGTGAAACTGGGAGCATTAGTAATGCTGTAACAATCTGCATTTCACTTACAAGTGTCCTGTTAAAAACAGACAGAGAACTCTTTCAATATTCACTTTAGTACCTAAATCCTGTCAGCTTCTCCCAAGACATTTCTGGTCAATGAAAGCTCTACCAGGAGCATGGAGCAAGCCAGAATCCCATAGGTTTTACCACAATCATTTATTCAAAGTTTGGTTTCATTTGTCTCACCTGAAAGACAAACAGAATTAAACAGACATGCAACACTGCCTGTGAAAAATGAAGCAGTTATCCTTTACAGTGCAAGAGTGTAAAGCTTGATTTATTTACACATTTTAAAGTGACAGGAGAACGTTGGAGGCAGATCATTTCATACATTCAGCTGTGCTCCACAGAGTGCAGTTACACATAAAACACACTGAGGATGTTTGAAGTGCTCTGGCCAGAGATGTCAGCTCTGGTAAGGAAGGCAGGGATGAACCCAAGGATTTCTCCAGGTGCTGAGAAATCCCTTCCATTTGGAGTCTGGGGTGCTGTGCCACGTGCAGGGTCCTGCATGAACCCTGCAGCGCTGACATTCGCAGATCAGAGTGTGCTGGACAACACCTACATAATTTTTCACCCTGGAATGTGGCACAGGGCTCCTCTCCTTTAAACCTTGCTGTGCTGCTCTGCTGTAAATATTTGCTGCAGTCCCAGGCATGGCCACTGTCACCTCAGACTGACAAATATTCTGTGAAAAGCTCAGTGTGAGGGTGCAAAACCCTTCCTGTTGCAGCTTCTCTGGACTAGAAGGGAGGTGAGGAGTTTAATTCACTCCTGAAAGAGCACAGAAGTCCTTCAGTCAAGTTTAAACAACACACTTGGTTTCTCTGGGCCCTGCTCATGCCTTTTCTTAGGCTGAAGAGCAGAAAATAACATTTTTTGGAAAACTGGGAGAAAAAGCAAGAAAGAGGAATATGCATAAAATAAAAAAAAAAAACCCAAACAAACAAAATCAACCTTATTTTGAGATTCCAGTGTTGAACAGCAGCAGCAAAGAGGAGTGAGGTGCAGTCCCTCAGTCCTACCCCTACATCAGTGATGGAGCTGAGGCCCATGGCCAAGGAACAGCCCAGGCTCCACTGCTGTGGCACAGTGATCAAAAACATTGTGATTGATGTGCTGGAGAAACAGACACCACCTCCAGTGCAGGCCTTTGGCAGGGAAGTTTCCAGAAGCAAACAAAGGAAGATTTCCCTGTGGCTGCAGGTAAAGGGAACTGTCATTATTAAGTAGAATTATTTGAGCACACGGAGCCTGTGTAAATAAAACATGGTTATGTAAAGCTTTGGATTTAGAATCTTTGCAAAGAAAGGGCCAAAGCCACACAATAGCACAAAAGCTCAGCTCGTGGCTGGGAGCAGTTTCACTCAGAGAAGGGCTGAGGGCTCTGTGAAGGGAACAAGGGCTCAGGAGAATTGGGGAGTTTACAGCAAAACCAGCCCTGAACAGGAGGCACAGCCACAGCTCTGTCCCCTGGCTGTGTCCATCACTCAGGGCTGTGCTGAGGAGGAAAACCCAACCCCAAATCCAGGGCTGCCAAGTCTGTGCTGGGTTTAATCACTGCTGAGAGCTGGGACCATCACTGATCTGGGTGTCAGCAGCCATTTAGGCCCTTCTGAATGATTTCCCACCACTCAATTAAGCACAGAGAACATTGCCATGGAACAAGTGTGTGGTGGCACAGCTTGTTTTCAGACACTGTGTTCTGTGGCTGCAGAACCAATAGGTCACAACAGGTTGATGAAATGGGAAGAGATAAGGAAAGGCAGCATTCCTGTGCCCTTCCCATGCAGCCTCATTGTGCATTGTTAATGAACAAAAGCTGCCCATAAATTCACCAACAATCCATGGCCACATCCAAAGGCACTCAATCAGTGTCACTGCACCCCAGCAGATGAATGCTCTGGCAGCAGGAGCCCATTAACATCCTTATCTTGCTTAATCACAAATCAAGGATTGAGGGTGAAAGCCAAGCTGTCATTTCTTGAGGTTTCCCAAGTTGCAGTGCAGGGGATGCCACTGATAAGATCTGAATTGTGCCCAGCTGGTGAAGGAACCCGGGTACAGCCCCTGGGCACCTCCCCTGGCAGGGGAAGGTTATTTCTCTAAGCTGCACAAAAATGCCAGAGCAATCCAAAGCATGCCCAGATTGAATCAGTCTGGCAAAGCAAACAAATGCAAAGGAACAGTTCTGTTGTCATTTACAACAACAAGAACCTGGAATAATCATGTGCAGGTCAGGGGAGTTGTTGGGAATTTCTGGCAGTGGGAACAGAAACTGGCCATGAGTCAATTTAACAAATAAAAATAAAAATAAATAAATGCAGAAAGCCACCATTCCAAATCTAAGATAATCCCAAACTGCCTGGTATGGGGGAATCACTTAAATATACACAGAACATGAGCACTATTCCTTCCAAATAAAGTTCCAGGGTCCTGGAGACTCCACTGTGCAGACAGCCCAGACCACACTGAGTGGACTTAAAATTCAGTTTCTCAGAAAAAAAACCCCAATTTTAGAGCAGCCAGTGCTATCAAAGTGCAGGATAAGCAGTGAATGTTGTACTTTCTCCTCAAGTGACAGTTCCCCATTGTCCCCCCGGGTCCATTCTCCCTCAGTATCAGCTCCTGGCCATCTCCTGGAAGCTGGGAAGATAAATATCAAAGTACACAAAGCTCCATTATCCTCACGGGCCTCAGTGAGTGCTGGGCAACTTCTCTCCTTAGGTCATCCACAGTAGTAGACAAGTATTGGTTTTCCTTTTTTTAAAAAGAAAGCAAAAGGGGGAGGACCCCAGCTTACATCACCTAAACTGAGCTTTTAACTAAGGAACTTCAACACCTTTAAGAGCTGGGACTACTAAAATTGGAAATCCTGTCTCAATCAGAAAGAAAATAAATAAACATGATAAAGAATTCAGATTTTGTCCAAAATTACATCAATTCCCAACAGATACAGTCACATCATTCTCATTTCTCCTTGTCCTCATCCTTTATAGTGCTCCCTCTGCACCATTTAATCCAACTTGAAGCTCCTGCTATGAAATCAGAAAACTGGCAAATAATCTTTGTTGTAAGCCATATAATCCAGTGGTGCTCTAAAAACAACCCCCATCCTCAGTGCTTGTGTTCACCACCAGAACAGAAGTGCCCAGAATTGGTGGTTTGAGGGGATGAATGTTCACTCTCACCAGTCCTGCTGCTCTAAAGACACAGCCAGTTCCAGTGGTGGTGCTTCCAAACAATTCCATTTATTGCTGTGTCAGGGGAGCTCCATGGTCACACCAGGACTTGGAGCCTTCCTGGGAATCTGTCACAGTCCCTGTAAAGCAAAGATGAAATCCTGTCCTCCCCTCTCTGTGAGCAGCTCCTGCAAACTTGTCTGGAGATGAAAGCACTCCCAGCAGGGCTGCAAACTGCACAGTCACTGGCACAGCATCTCCTCTGCCATCAGCTCCATCACTGCACACTCCCAGCCAGCACAATGCCATGCAGAACTGGGAGCTGCTTCCTGCCAAGTGCTTTCAACTTCCCACCTAGCAAAAGTTGTTGATTTTAATAATCAGCCTGGAAAGTTCAGCTCGAGACGAGCTTAAAACTCCTCTCAAGGTCGGCTTTACGCTCGCTTCTGTTTGAACAGGTAAATAAGGAAAGGTCCAAGTGCTGAGTCCTTGAAGGTCACTCACTCCTTCTTGCTGTGCTCCAGCACCCTGTAGGGAGGGGCAGGGCCGCCCCTGGGCCCGTGCTGCTCCTGCACGATGGGCAGCGTGGCTGGGCTGTAGATCTCTGGCATGCTGTCGTTGTTCTCCAGGGCGCCGTAGGAGAAGGAGGCTTTGAGGTCAGGCTGCACTGCAATCCCTTTGTCGTGCATGTTCTGCATGCCTGCAGGAGCAGAGGCACACATTAGGCACAAAAGTGCATTTTTGCTGCTCTCTGCTCAGCCAGAAAATGAGCAGTCCCTGAGGCTCATCAGCTGCTGAATCAAAGAGGGTTTGTGCTCAGCACTGGAGCAGCTGATGAGAAATAAGGTCCCAGTGAATGAGGGATGGCTCTCAGTTACCCAGCAAGTGCTGCAGATCTTTCTTACAGCTCACCAGAGAGCTTAGCTCTGCTTCCCAAAGGAGATTTCTGCTCCTCTACCTCACTGCTGAGCCATCCCCAAACATCAGTTCTTCCTGCTGGACCCAGCCCCATCCCAAGCACGTGTTCAGACCAGTTCAAATTCAGATAACAACTGTGTGACCCACCCAACCTGAGCCAAAGCCTGAGCCCTCCCTGTGCAGCCCAGCTCCCTAACAGGGTGATAAACCCTGGGCTTGGTCACCTGGCATGGCATCCATTGAGATGTAGGGCTCGAAGGGGACAGGCTTCTTCCTATTCCTGGTGATCAGGAACACTCCCAGGAATGCTATGAGGCACCTGAGGGAGGAGAAGGGGTCACTGAGATGCCTGGCAAGGCAGAGCACACAATATTTATTCCCTGTGGCTCCCCACAGAATTCAGAGCTGCAGTTCAGGCCCTGCCAAGGCAGAATTGCAGGGCACTGTCCCAGCTGAGCCCCCTGAGCAGCACTGAACACCCCCAGCAACCAGCACAGCTTCACCTTTAGCAAACACAAAAAGTCTCCATGTTAATTAATTAATTAACCTTGGCTAACTGCAGGGGCAAGGAAGCATAGCAACATTTGGTTTTGCTTTGATGGGATTCCAGGATTCAGCAGCCTGACCTTTCCAAGGCTCCCTGTAAACACAGCAACAACCACGGACCTGCATTGTCACAGAGCAAGGTGCAGCTCAGAACAATCATCTCCCAATGCTTTGGGGATTTTTTTCTGTACTTATCTAAAAGCCATTTGAGAATGTCTCCTGATTATGGAGAGCTAATTACACCAAAACACTGAGTTACACAGGAAACGTTTCACTGATCACATCTGCATTGTGCCTTCTCCATGCTCTAAAAACTCCAGAAGTCAGGCACAGTTCAGGGAAGGTACAAAATCTGCAAGAAGGTTCCCAGAGAGAGACTTTGGGTTATTTTACAATTCATGAGCAGGCAGCTTGAAAACCAAGCCATATGCTGAGCACCCCAGCTGATCCCCAGGATTTAGTGATTAATTGTTGTGTAATTGTGCATTACCAAGGGTTACACAATTTTTTCCAAACACAACACTGAGCTCTAAGGGCCACTCTCTGCTCTGACAAAGAGGCATTTTAAAAACAGATTTGCATTTTTAAAATTTGAGCCACATGAAGCAACAGTTTCCTGTCAAGGGAACCTGGAGCACTTACCCCAGTGCAAACATACAAATGTGGAGAACATCTTCACCCATGAAGTCCAGGTAAAAAGTTGCTCCTTAAAAAGGAAATAATTCAATTACATCTTCCCAATTCCACCTTCAGCCAGGATTCCTATTTTTATAGCCAGCACCTTTGTTTATTTAATCATCTGAAAATAGGTGTCCTGATTTCTATTTTAACACAAATTATTGACAAATCTTTTCGAGTTTCACTACCAAAATAGTTCTGCTGGTGTCACTAACAGAGATATAAATGAACCTGTGCAGCAAAAACAAGAGGGACTATTTTGGAATGATGAAACAAATTGGATTTAACTATAAAAAGATGCAAACTCTTGACCCCAAACAACAACAAACAGCTCCAAATTCTAGAAGTGTCCTGGGTGGCAGCAGGACACACGTTCTGCCTCCTGCTCTTTGCATTTTTAATGTAAAGAAAATAAAGTCAAAAATAAATAACAAGGAAACATTTCACCTGCACATCTAGAAACACATATTGAACGAGGAACAGTCTCAAACAAATTCCCCTGCACTTTAAACAAAATGACAGCACTGAAGAGAAAATCTTAACAGTCTACTGGGATAATTCCCATTTTTAAAAAGGAAAAAAGACCCAAACAAAGCCAGTGCAGATGAGAGATGACAAAAAAATAAGAGTCATCATATTGCTGAGTATTCACCTTCTTCAGGAGGATTATTTCCCAAAAGCTTTTGCCCTTTTTCAGAAAGGTCTGTGCAGTTACCTGCTGAGATTGCTGCTGTGGTGGAGAGGATGTAGCCAATGCTGGAGATCTGAGCTGAGTCATAGAGCTGGGAGGCCTGAGCTAAAAACCTGCAACACAATCACAGGCAACAGGGGCTGATTGGGATGATCCTTTTTTGGAAACACCTTTCAAAAGTGATGCATAAATTTAAGGAAATTCATTCTTTTTCTCACTGAACAGCAGCAGCAGCAAGCCTTGGAAAGAATAAAAGGACAGAAGAGGGAGGTTTGTGGCTGCACTGAAATTACTGCCCCAACCTCAGGGCCAGAGTGTCCCTCATATTTTGGGAAGCCTTTTATCCCTGCTGCTAGCAGCTTTTTATGTTATTGCAAGTACAAAGGGGAAAAAACCCCTAAAAATAGACACATTTTCAACAACACTGATCCTGCACTTTGATTTTAGCCAGCCCA